ATAGACTCTCTGGACAGGCTGGCTGGTAAAGGGCATTCCCAGACAAAGCTAGTTTGCAAAGCCTGGAATAAATTCTTGCTTTTTCAATGCACAGTCATCAACATGAAGCATCAAGAAACTTGAAAAACCAAGGAAACATAATGCCACCAAAAGAACACAATAATATCCTAGTGGCAGACTGAAAAGAAATGGAGATATATGTACTACCTGAAAAAGAATCCAGAATAAGTGTTTTAAAGAAATTCAGTGAACATAAAAAAAAATAACAGAGAAATAATTCAGTGAAATTATAGTGACCAAATAATGTCTAAAGCAAATATGAAAGAAGTGATTAAAAAAGACATTTCAGATCTGAAAAAAAAAATAACAGTGGAATGAAAAAATGCTATATAAGGGTCATCAACAGCAGAACTGATCAAGTAAGAGAAAGAATTTGTGAACTTGAGATGTTATTTAAAAATATAAAGTCATCTGGGGGAAGATACAAATATCTGAATATAGTAAGGTCAGAGGTCTCTGATCAGATTCAGTTCAAACAAGATTACACCAAGACCTATTTTAATCACATTACCAAAGACAAATCAAAGAAAAGACAGGCTTTTGAAAGCAGCAAAAGATAAGCAAATAACATAAGGGAATTCCAGTAGGCAGTGAACATCTCATCATGGACTGTATAGGTGTGAGAGGCAGGGTGGTATATTTTAAATGCTGGAGGAAAAAATCTGCCAACCAAGCATACTGTATTTGGAGAAACTATGCCTCAGATAAAGATTTTCCCAAACAAAACTGAAAGAGTTCCACGAGATCTGTCTTATAAGAAATGCTAAAGGAAGTTCTTTAGTCTGGAAGAAAGGACGGTAACTAGTGACACTCAACCATGTGAGAATATGAAGCTCACTGGTAAAATTAGGTGCACAGTAAAGTTCAGATTAATACTATGGAGGGGTGTGTAAGTAAGTCATATGAAGGTTAAAAGACAAACTTTAACAGCTATAGTAATTTGTTGAGGGATGGTTTCACTGCTGAATTCTACCACACATTTAAAGAACTGTTCATTCATCTTTCTCAAAACATTCCAAAAAATCGAAGATGAAGGAACACTTTCAAACTCACTCCATGAAGTAAATATTACCATGACACAAAACCTGAAAAGAACATCACAAGGAAATAGAAGATTAGTGTCCCCAATGAAGATGGAAATTCCTCACCAAATAGAGCAAACTAAAATTAAATCACACATTGAAATGATCTCCAGGATCAAAATTTATCCCCGGGGTACAAGGGTGGTTCAGCATATGCAAATCCATCAGTGTGATACAACACATTAATAGAATGAAGAACAAAAACAGTAGATGCAGAAAAAGCATTAGACAGAATTTAGCATCTGTTTATGATAAACAAAACCAAACCCTCAATAAATAAGGAGTACGGGGAATGTACTTCAACCCAGTAAAGGGTATGTACGGCAAGCCCACAGCTAATATCATATTCAGTAATTAAAAAGTTGAAAGCGTTTTCTCTAAAACCAGGAACAAGGCTCCCACTTTTACCACCTCTATTCAGTACAGTGAAGGAAGTCCTATCCAGACCAACTGGGCATAAGAAAGAAATGAAAGACATCCAAATTGGAAAGGAAGACTCCAAATTGTCCCTTTTTGAAGACAGGCTAATCTTATGTACTGGAAACCCTTAAGAATTCACCAAAACAAAACAAAAACAAAACACACACAATACCCAAAAACCAAAGCCTATTAAAATGAATCAAGATGCAGAAGACCTTTACTTAGACCTTTATTTCACACCATAAACAAAAATCAACTCAGAGTGGTTTAAAGACAAACAAGTAAACATACGACCCCAAACCATGAAACTACTAGGCAAAAACCTAGGGAGAAAACTTCTTGACATGGGTGGGAGCAGTGATTTTTTTTTTTTTTTTTGAGTATCATCTGAAAAACACAGACACAAAACTGAAAATTACTAAATGGGATTATATCAAACTAAAAAGCGTCAGCACTGTAAAGTGAATGATCCACAGAGTGAAGAGACAACCTACAGAATAGGAGAAAATATTTGCAAATTACATCTCATAACTGGTTAATGTCAAAGTGTATAAGAAACTAGCTCAGCAGAAAGAAAACAACCCAGTTGAAAGATAGGTGAAGGCGAGACCAGCAGTTAGCATAATGGCTATATCACTGGACTCCCACGTAGTCTACCACTGTTCGCGTCCCGGACCTGGTGGCTTAAACTCACGCCGGGCGCGTGTGTGTGCATAACCAAGATCCTGAGAGAAGAATGGAGGAGAAGGGATTGTGGCGTGGCCATCCCCCCTGGGGGGTGATTTCTCGCTTTCTGGCTCTCTGTCTCTCTCTCTCTGTCTGGTGAGTGCACACACCCTATAGCGAAAACCTCTCAAAAAAAAAAAAAGATGGGTGAAAGGTTTGAATAGACATTTCTCAAAAGAAGATATACAAAAGATCAACACATCTATGGGAAAAACAAACAGAAGCTTCAGTATAACTAATGATTAGAAATGCAAATTAAATTCACTATTAGCTATCACCTCACATCTGTTAGCATGTTTATTGAAAGATGAAGAGTTGTCAGTATGGGGAGAAAAGGGAACTCTGGTACCCTGTTGGCGGAAATGTAAGTGAGTATAGCCAGTAGGGGAAACATTGTGGAGGTTTCTCAAAAACTCATACAGTCAGGGAACGGCAGGTGGTGTGGTGGTTAAGGTGTTGGACTCTCACGTGGCCAACCTCTGCTTGGGTCCTGGACCTACTGGCTTGCTTTCTCATTTTCCCTTTCTCTATCTCTGGTCAAATTAAAAAATAAATAAATAAATAAAATTAAATAATTAAAAAAAAAAAAGACCAACCCAAATACCTCACATAATCCAGCAATCTCACTACTGGGTATAAAGCCAACGCTGTAGAGTCTGCCCACTGAAGAGATGCCTGCACTCCCATGCTCACGGGATTATTTCACAACAGCCAAGATGGAATCAACCTAAGTGTCCTTCAGTGGATGAAAGGATAAAGAAATGTGGTACAGGGACCAGCAATGGTGTAATGGTTATGTTGCTGGACTCCCATGTAGTCGACCGTGGTTCAAGTCCTGAACCCGGTGGCATAAAACTCATGCTGGGCACGTGAGTGCATGCCCAAAATCCCCAGAGGAGAATAGAGAACGGATTGTGGCATGGCCATCCTCCCCAGGGGTGATTTCTCACTTTCTGTCTCTCACCTTCTACAAAAAATCACTCTCTTAAAAAAAAAAGTGGTGTGTGTGTGTGTGTGTATATATATATATATATATCCACAGTGGAATATTATTCAGCCTTAAAGAATGAGGAAATTGCGTTTGCCAGTGTGGGGGAACTGGAAGGACATTATGCTGAAATGAAATAAACTAGGCGTGCAAAGTCCAATACCGAATATGTATGTCTTCGTTGTCACGTTGTCACCGCAGATAGCCGAGCCTGGGAGATGTACAGAGAAACAGTGTAACTCGTAGCGCCGTCGGCTGGCAGTCTGAAGGCACCGCAGACTAGCAGAGGCAGAACTCGAGTGCAGTGAGTCGTGGTCAGCCTCCACCCACATGGCTCTGCTGCCTCATTCCCTCTCCCTGTGAATACTCCAGGACTCAGCCGTGGGGTCCTGTCAGGATTTTAGCACAACCAGAGGAACCACCCTGGGCAGTGTGAGGAAACAAAGTTTTCACTTAAGTCTTTTTCAATACAATGAAGTCCCAACTGGCGACCTTTGGGGGACATCAGATGACTGCCCACTGACACCGTATTCCAAAACATAGACCTTGAGGGGACAAATCCTTACCTAGACCATAGCAGCAACGTGGACTCTGACATAGCTGATCTCAGAAGTAGCAGTCCAGTGGTAGTTAGCAGGGACTGAATGGATTTGGGGTGGGGTGGGGACAGGTGGGTGCTGTTGGTCAAAGGATTCAAAATTTCAGTCAGGACGAGTCAGTTCCAGAGATCTATTATACCGCATGGTTGTTTTATTTTAAAGAATTTTAAAATTTAATTCCTTTTCTCTTTTTCTTTTTTAAAATTTGACCAGGGAGAGACAGAAAGGGAAAGTGAGAAAGGAAGCCTCTGGGTTTGGGACTTGAACTGAGATCAGCCATGTGGGAATCCAGAGCCTTTAACCACCACGCTGCCTGCTGACCCCCCACATGGTTGTAATTAGTAACTGTAGTTTTGAACATTGTAGAGAGCAGTTTTATTATTTTTTTCCTCTGCCACAGGGTGTGTGGCTCTTAGGAGGGAGACCGAGGGATGGCATCTCCTCCTTACCCTGTCTGGGTTTTCTGCGGTGAATGCTTTGCTCTGTGTTACTATAATCCAGTGTTACTGGGAACCCGAGCTCACCGAGGCAGGCCTCGCTTTGCCCGCGTGGTGAGCCGTACAGGGAGGGCCTCAGTTGGAGGTCAGCCCCGTAGCCTGGTGGGTAAGGGAGCTGGATCCCACGGGGCAAACGCAGTTTGAATCCTGGCCGTGGCGGCTTGAACATGCGTGAGTCCAAGATCTCGACAGGAAGTAGAAATGGATTACGGCTTGACTTCCCCTGGCGGGGGTGATTCTCTCTCCCCCGTGTCCCTCCGTCCCTGTGGTAAGTGTGTGCGCCCTCTGGTGACCGATGAGACAAGATCCCGGCTGAGTATGTGACTGAGTGAAGGGAAGTCTCTGTAGTTCACACTAGCGTTGGGACCGTTGGCATGTTGAACTTTTCCCTTCACCTGTGAACAGGAGTTGTAGGAGTACCTCTGTCACTGGTTTGCTGCGAGGACTGAACTAATTGGTGTTTGTTGAACACTGATTCACATACCATAACTCTAAACAGTTTAGCTGCTTTATCTTTTCTTGATTTTGGCATTTGGTACAAGGTAGTAACTGTTTGGGAGAAATACGTTTACCTTTTCAAGGACTCCCGCAAACGAGCATTTTTCCTTGTTCTCTTTTTTTCCAGGGAATGCAGAGAGCAACGAACGTCACCTATCAAGCCCACCATGTAGAGGCCAGGTGGTGGGGACCAGAGGTGGTTTCCGTGGGTGCACCGTCTGGCTGACAGGTACAGTTCAGACAGCGAAGCCGGTGGGTTTTAAGAGCGGTGTTGACAGGCAGCCTTGGGCTGGGCGTCTGCCTGTCGGAGTTTGGAGCTCTGCTTCGCATTTGGAGCCAGAACAACTGGAACTGAAGTTACTTAATGATCGCATCAGTTTTTTGGAGACGCCTTTTTTCTTTTACAGGATTGCTGTTAAAGTGGAAAAATCAGGAAGCATCTTAAAACATTGTAGTAGGTACTTTGATAACTTCCATGATCCAAGTGTAAATAATACCCATGTTCTGCACCAAGAAGCTCGCCGTGTAAACCACAGGGAGAGAAAGAATGAGCGATAAGGAATTTCTCCCGTTCTCTTCTGCCAGCCAGGTTTCGCATAGGCCTCTAATTGTTCCTCGTGTTGTTTTCCCAGAATCCCCTCGGGCTGAGCCGTAGCAGGCTGGCGAGAGGGCACATTGATTTAGATTTTGGAAGTAGTTTTAAAAGTAATGGCTCCTCCACTAATAGGAATTCTGCATATACATATAACCATAGAATATGGTATGTTCTATAATACCGTAATAGTATACATGAGCGTATGTGTATTTAGTATATATGTAATATGTATTTTGCCACAGGGCGCATGTGCCCACTGGAGAGAGCGCCAGAAAGCGCTTCACGGTGGTGTAAGGTCACACCGCAATCCTGTTCCTCATTTCTCTCCCTGTCAGGATGTGGGGCACGCCTGCACACATGCCTGGCATGTTTCTTAAGCCTCTGGGTCTGGTCTGATGTCAGCCATGCGGGGTCTGGCTCCCTTAATCATAAGGCCACAGTGGCTCCAGGACTTGCAGGTAAAGTTTGATATATGTTGTCAGGTAGCCCTCTAAAATTTCATACCAGTTCACTCTCACACTGGCAGCGTGGGAGAAGGTCCCTTACCGGTGCCTTTGTCAACCCTGGGTGTTACTAGTTATTAACGATTTGTGCCAATTGGCAAAAGACAACATTCCAGGGTTTTGTTTTTAACTATGTTTCAATGTCAGGTCTGTTTATTTTTGGCATGAAAGAAACATTGACTCTCCCTCCACTTCCTCATTCTTGAGTCTAGTTACACTGTTTCTTTCTGTGTGGTTGTTTCTGTTTTAGGTCTGTCAGTGATTTAAGTCAACACTCCCTGGGTCTTCTGCTGTGAACCTTTATTGCAAGCCTTCATTACAATCTAGCCTCATCATCTACAGTTCATGAAGTGCATTTTACAGGGTGGCCTTCTGTTGGATTCTGACTTCCCTGTGCTTTGGTGTTTGAGACTGTCTTCCTGTCCTTTTTTCTTTATGTTTATTCATTTCTCCCATGAGGGAGACAGACACCCCCAGAAGCACACCGCACTGCAGTCCACTCCCACTGCGTCCAGCCAGGGTCACGGGCACACACGCCAGCCCCAGGGCACGGACATGGGACCTTCCCGTTGGGGTCTAGTCGTGTTCTCCGCGTCACTTCTCGAGCCCTGCCCATCTGTTACAGCAACTTGGCTGGGTAAAATATTTATTTGGTTCATAGTTTCTTGGAATTTTTAAAACACTACCTCCTGGGATTAGAGGTCTGAAGGCTGAGGCCAGTTGTTTTCCTGTCTCTCCAGACCCTTGCTCTTTGCCCCTGGGTCCCTGAGCATTCTTTCTTCCCTGTTTTCTTCCAGGGACGTGGCCTTTCTCGTGGACCCCACTGCAGGCGGTCTCTGTGCTGTGAGTGCGCTCCGTCCTCTCCACATGGGCTGGGCTGTCTTGTCCCGAGAATGTGTGGGGAATGTGAGCTGGCTGCTGCCGAGTGTCCCCGCGCAGGGCGGTGGGCTCTGACCGCCCAGCATGTAGGCTGCTCACTGTCCCTGCCGAGCAAGGCCTGGTGAGGAAGGGCAGTGTGCGCTGGGTGAGGCTCAGACAGGCCCTCTCCCTCCACCGGTCAGTGTGAGAACCCGGAGCTCCTGGGCTAAAAGTCACAGTGCTGTGGGGTCCCTGGTGATGGGTCCCCTAGGTAACGCGCAGCCTTGCCTGTGCTGAGCCACGTTACCAAGGCCACAGGACCGCTCCCCTCGGCCTGTTCCTCCTGAGTTTCTGCTCCAGGAGCTGCAGCTCCCCCTCAGCTGTCTCCCCAGCCTTCAGGGCGGTGAGCTGGCCTGAGTTCCCCGCTCTGATGGATCGAGAAGAGCCGTCGGTTTTTAGTGTGCTCAGCTTTCTGCTTACTGACAGGATGTACTCGTGACTTCCAGCCCCTTACATGCAGGCCCGGAGAACCCGCAGTCAGGTTTCACAAACGCTCGTTTGAAAAGAGGACCTCCTCCTTGGCCTGAGCAGTATTCCCTCTGCTTATTGTCAGAGCGGGCTTTAACTGCGTTGTCTCCAGCCTTTATTGTGTTGCTTTTTTTTTTTTTTGGAGAGGTTTTCGCTATAGGGCGCGTGCGCTCACTAGACAGACAGAGACATAGAGACAGAAAGCGAGAAATCACCCCCGAGGTGGGATGGTCACGCCGCAGTCCCTTCTCCATTCTCCTCTCGGGATCTTGGGCACGCACGCACATGCGTCCGGCGTGAGTTTTAAGCCACCGGGTCCAGGAGGCGAACTGCGGTCGATTATGTGGGAGTCCAGCGACATAGCCATTATGCTAACTGCTGGTTCCCTATTGTGTTGCTTTTTAAAAGCAATGTGTCGCTGGATATGGAAGTCAGGGACTCTCTTTTCCTTGCAGTCCGGGTCCTTAATCGGCCTCTGTCCGAGGTGTCTAGACCTGTGCTCCGTTTTCCTGGACACAGTTCACTTTCTCTCAGGCTTCCCTTTAGCTCCCTCCCTCAGTAGTCTCACACTGGCTGGGTGTTACCCTCCCAGGCTCCAGGCTGCGAGCGACTTAGCTGTGCCCTGGGCGGCTCACACCGCAGACAGCTTTCTTCTCAAAGTCCCCTTTCTTTGGTTAGTTTTTGCTAGGGGTGTGGGTGCTTGTCAGAGAGAAAGTGAGAAGGCACCCCAGGGGGATGGCCACGCTACAGTTCTTTCTCCTTCATTCTCCTTGGGATTTGGGGCACACGTGCATACACACCCAGTATGATTTTTCAAGCCACTGGTTCTGGGACTCAAACCGTAAGACTGACCATGTGGGATCCAGCACCTTAACCTCCATGCCACTGCTGATCTTACTTTCCCACAGTTTTGAAGGCCTGAGGTCCAAAAGAAGTGTTGGCTCCGCTGTGGGCGGGGCCGGCTGTGTGCAGTGGCTCAGGCAGGTGCTGCTGCGTGCGGGTCTGCTGGGCGCTTGGCGGGCTGACAGCCGACGGGTCACCTCGGTGCGTTCTCCAGCTCGGTGGTCCCAGGGCATTTAGCAGGTGCTTCCTCCAAATTCGGTGGCCAAAGAGAAGCTTCATAGCTTTTCTGGCCTGGCCTCACAAGTCCCTGTCGTCTTTTGCTGCGTTCTCTTGGCCGCTGAGGGGCCCTGAGACCCAGCCGAGACTCAGCGGTGTGAACGTGGGCCGAGCCTCTTGGGGTGGCACTGCACCGTCACATCGTCACGTTGCAGAAGAGCTCGTCGGAGCCGTCTTGGGAAGACACGGCTGGCTGTGCTCAGGGGCAGCGTGTGAAGTGGCCGGGCTGTGCTGATCCTTGTGACGTGGCCTCTCTGGGCTGCTGTCCAGCTGGCCCCGGGCACTGCCGGGACCTCTTTCAAGAGCACCGGTACGTTGGGAACCAGCAGTTAGCATAATGGCTATGTCGTTGGACTCCCACGTAGTCGACCGCGGTTCGTGTCCCGGACCCGGTGGCTTAAAACTCACGCCGGGCGCGTGTGCGTGCGTGCCCAAGATCCCGAGAGGAGAATGGAGGAGAAGGGATTGCGGCGTGACCATCCCCCCTGGGGGGTGATTTCTCGCTTTCTGTCTCTATGTCTCTCTCTGTCTGTCTGGCGAGCGCACGCGCCCTACAGTGAAAATCTCTCCAAAAAAAAAAAAAACAAGAGCACCGGTACGTCAGGCTTCAGAATGTCACTTCGTGCCTTGTCACCACCGTGCTCTGCCTTCGTGCGGGCACTTGTGCACGTACAGCTGTGCTCCCCTCTCAGTTCGGTGGGTCAGCACTGGCAGCGCACGGCGGGTGACACCAAGGTGCCCTCTCACGGTTGATGACATTGCGTTGGGTTCCTGGGTGTTTCCATAAAGCATGGTGGTCTGCGGGAGGCGGCGCTCCTGGGACGTGTGTGCAGCTCTGTAACGTCTCGCTTCGTTTTAGCCTTTCCTTCCCTCGTCAGAAGTAATTTTGGGGTGTGAGTTTGTTTTAAACTTCGGCACACAGATTTAGAATAGGGGTGGGCGGGGACAACGTGGTGATCTGTCCAGGCCTTTGGGAGACTTGGCACTTTCTAGGAACCCTTAGGCAGAGATGTTACTGGGGCGTTGGAGAAGTCATGACATATTTTCTAAGGTTTTCTATGCAATATGCGTCATGGCTTTTCTGACGACCAATGTCAATGACATGTGCATCGTGTTTTAAACCATGGATGTTTCCCTCTGTAAGAAGTAAATCTTAGAAAAAGCAGGTAAGAACGTTCCTGAGAGACTGCCAGGATTGTGCATGGAAGCCTGTGGTTAAAATTCTTTATTACAGGGCCAGGAGGTGGCATGGTGGTTAAGGTGCTGGAATCCTACATGACTGACCACGGTTCAAATCCTGGACCTGGCAGCTTGCTTCCTCACTTTCCTTCTCTCTTTGTTTCTGTCTCTATGGTCAAATTAAAAAAAAAAATTAATAATAGTTCAAATTAAATAAATCTTTAAAAAATTATTTATTACTGAGTCGTTGTCTCCCAGCTTTGTGAACGGAACCTGTCTGGGCGTTCGATCTTAGGCCTGTCTGGAGCCGGGAAGACCACGGTGAGCATGGCCCTGGAGGAGTACCTGGTCTGCCACGGCATCCCCTGCTACACGCTGGACGGGGACAACATCCGTCAGGGTCTCAATAAGAACCTGGGCTTCAGCCCCGAGGACCGGGAGGAGAATGTGCGGCGCATCGCGGAGGTGGCCAAGCTGTTCGCGGACGCCGGCCTGGTGTGCATCACCAGCTTCATCTCGCCCTACACCCAAGTGCGTGGTGCAGGGCCGTGGCTCTTCTCGGGGGGAGGGAGTGTGGTGGGGAGGGGGGTCAGGCGAGGCCCAGCTTCCAGGCTGGATCCAGAGTAAAATAAGCAGACCGAAACAGCCTGTGCCACGACTTCCTCTGTAAGCCCAGTCTGGTAAAACCCGGTGTTATAAAACCCAGTGTAACCAGAGTGTCGCACTCAAGCCTGTGGGAAAAATTTCAAGGGTGACTTTGCGGTTAGTCCCCTGCACTGAACCCGTGGCAGGTGTCGGGCCCCATGGGGAACCAGGTTTCCAGCATGGCTCCTGCCATGGTCAGGCCCCTCACTCACTTCCTCCTGGGTTCAG